TCTCCGGTGGCCCCCTGGGAAAACACAGAGAACCAAAAGACCATGGAAAACTGGGAGACCATGTGTTCATTCTCTGGGGGGGCAGTTTAAATAGCCTGTGGAAGTGGTCATGACCTTCCCTGGGAAGGGGTTACCATTTGGTGAAGTTTGGACTGAGGCAACTCCTAGGGGAGGGAGCTTTGAAATAGAGCTTTCCAACCAACATTTCAGGATGGATGCCAGGGGGTTGGGGTCAAGCCCCCCAACTAAACAATCCATACTCTTTGTATAAAGGGGTGCCAGGGAGCTGAGGTGATGCTTTCAACCAAACTTACCACCACCACCTTCAACATCATCACCATCATCATTATCATCATCACCACCTTCACCACCAGTATCACCATTGCCACTGACAATTACCACAGTCACCTCCACAACGCGCTTCTACCACCTCCGTACCCCCTTACTGTCATTCTCCTTACCACATCTACCGTGTAGTGTAGTGTGACCCTACCCCTGGGAGACGTGAGTCCACATCCATTTACCCCAGATAGGCAAACAACAACAGATCAAATAAGGAAGTCACCGAAGTCCAACTTGGCAAACCAATGAATTTTATTGGGCTTACTTCACACTTTGTAGCCAGTCTGGCTTGGGACTGGCAGCAATCCTCCACCTCAGGTCACGATGTGCTACGATGATGGGTAATGAACGACCACATCCAGCTTTATTAATTTTTTTTCATGATTGTGTATGTACAAGCGTGTGATGTGTGCATAGCCTTGTGGGCTGCCGTTGTGTGTGGAGGTGGAACCATCTCTCTCCTGTATTTCTCTGTGTTCTGGGGCTGAACTCAGGTCCCCCAGGCCTTTCCCACAAACACCTCTATCAGCTGAGCCACTTGCTGACCCCTATTTTTTTTTTTTAATTCTAGAAAAAGTGTTTTTCTTCAGGACACTGGGGATTTCTTTGATTTTGCAGACGGGAAAGCAGTACAAATCCTTCTGGGGATTAGAAGTAGGATCCGACTCATTTACAATTATTTTTTAAGTATCTCCTATGAGCCTGTGCTTTAGAGACTGGAGACATAGTGACTGCATGAAACTCACATTATGGTGGGGAGAAATAAATAATGAGTGAATAGATCAGAAATTATATATTAGGAATAAAAGGGTCATAATGAAAACAAGATGACATGGCTGATCCTGGGGGTGTTATTAATTGTGAAGTATATCAGCTTTTTGTTGGGTAACAAGCCATGTTTAAAGATCAGGGGCTCACGAAAACAGACTTGTTTGAGAGCTCCTTTTTATTGTGGTTTTGTTGTTTGCTTTGGACCCATGGTGATGGGTGATCCTCTCAGCACGGACATCTCTTGCTGGATCTCAACAGAGCAAGGGGGTGAGTGTAAACAGGCCATTGCTCTTGGAGCTTCAACTTGGGCCTGGTCTCCTGCCACCAACACCCATGTATCTCCAGCCAAGGAGAATCAGATGCGCGGTGTCAACAGAAGGATGTGTCTGCTCACAGTGAGAGGCCTGCAAAGACACCAGGCAAGGGTGTGGACGTGTAATCCGGTTGCCAGGGAACAAGGACTGAGATAAGCAATCAAGGCTACCTAGAGAGAGCTGGTTAAGAGGAGGTGACATTTAAGCTGAGGTCTGAACAGAGAGAGTGATTGGAGGAAGAGTGGCAGGTGGCACCCAGCTGGACTGGGCACATCTGGGGATGTCAGGGGTGGAGTTGGGGTAGATGAAGCAGAAAGCAAGGGTGGCTGGAGCTTAGGGGCAGGGGAGGAGCCTCGGGGACCCAGGCAGGCTCCTGACCACGTGGACCTTGTAGGACACAAGGCCAAAATGGCAGAGAATTGCCACGTCTGGGATTTCGTGCTGGCAGGTAATGCCAGAAGAGCGATCTCCTTTGAAAACCTGTAAGATGTAGGCTGTAAACCTTTCAACCTTAAGCCCCAGAGATTCACCTTTCTCAAAGGACTTAAAGGCTGCTCTGGAAAGCTGGAAGATGATCTAGGCTAAACTCCGACCCTTTTCTTTCGTTGCACAACCCTGGCAGGCTGTTCCCAGGGCTGTCCCTTCCCATGGCGTCACTTGTTCAGGAGAAAGAGAGAGTGCAGGGTGGGCCCCAGATACGTCCACCACCACCCTGACACAAACTTCTAATTCAGAGCAGAAGCCTCAATAAGGAATCACTTGAGATGAAAGGCTCTGCTCGAATTTATTGTTTTTTTCTCTCAAGTTTAAACATTCTCTGCACTCGAGTGGCTGTTGCTTATGCGCCCGACTTATTCAGGCCATTTGCGTATGTGTGTGGTCTATGCAGCCTGTTTCAGTAAAGTGTACGTTAGATGCTTGGAAACTATCCAACATGTGGAGAGAGAGACACACAGAGAGAGAGAGAGAGAGAGAGAGAGAGAGAGAGAGAGAGAGAGAGAGGCAGAGACACAGAGACACAGAGACACAGAGACATAGAGGAAATGAGAGGGGAAGGTGGGTAGGGAGGGAGGAAGGGAAGGAGGACAGTAGGGAGGGAGGAAAAGAGGGAGAGAAAGAGACAGGAGAAAGAAAAATTTTAACTAGCAGCTCAAGCAGGAGGTTTGCAGATGAATAGCGCATATTTAATTTGAAGAATTAACTTTTTTCTTCCCCCTGTTGTTTGGCTATCGTCAGTCCCAATGCAAGCACACTGACATGGTTTAAATTAGCATTGTGGAAGCAATACACTGCCGAGCAGTGCGTGACTGAGTTATTAAGAGCCATCCACGAGGATCAAGCAGAAAACCATCCTGACAAATAGAAAAACTTTCTGTGGTGCCTTCTGCCAGCTGGGTCCCCGGTCATCGAGCACAACGTGGAACAATTCGCCCACGGACTCTTTGGGGTGGGGGAAGGGAAGAGGCATTTCATCAAGGGTACAGCTTGGGTTTGAAATTTTGTTTGGACTAGTTGCCAAGAAATTGAGGTCTAAAATTAAACATGAAATATGTTGAAAGTATTGGAAACTAAGGCAGGGCGTTTCATTCAGTGAAATTTAACTATTTCTAACCTGTTAAAGACTAGTGAAACTGAGCGACTTGCTCTTGTTAGTAGTACAAAATTTGGTCTTATATTACGATTTCTTGTGAGTGAATGCTTTGGCAGCTTTCAAGATCAAAGGGCTAAGATGCAGTCTTGGCTTTGTTACTTCGAAGTGATGTGAACTTGGGCAAGACATTTTTCTTCTTTTCTGGATATGTATGTATGTATGTATGTATGTATGTATGTATGTATGTATGTATCTCTATGTGGGATGCTTGCATGAGTGTCTCTGTGTTCGTGTGTGTGTGTGTGTGTGTGTGTGTGTGTGTGCATGCGCACATGTGCACCCTCGTGTTATAGAGGCCTGAGGTTAAAGCAGGATATCTTTCCTCATCACTCTCAGTCTTATGAGGCAGATTCCCTTGCTGACCCCGTACTCAGCTTGCTCTCTCTTGCTGTTTCCTTAGCCCCGCGTCATTTTTGTAAGCTCTGGGGGTCCAAACTCCAGTCTTCATATGAGGCCAGGGCTCCTGCACCCCCTCCCCACGGCTCATCTCACTCCATGTCCCCTCATTCACTGTCTGTATACTAGAGTTGGTGTTGCACACCTCGTGGAAAGAGATCACCTCTGCGAAAGGCCCTGTAATGTGACACATACATGAAATATTACTGGGGTCTTTTATTGATAGCCCCGATCTGAGGCTCACTGTCATTATACCGGACCCCAAGAGGCTTTAAAAAGGTCCCTGTGGCTATTTCATTAACCAATCAGAGGAAAAAGGTGGAGTCGGTGACTGTTTCAGCCCCACCTCTTGGGGACTGGCTGTGGAAGATGGTGGGAGGCCAAGTGTAACCAAAGGCGAGGAAAAAGAGAGAGAGAAGAGCCATCCTTTGCAGGCTCTGATGTTTAGACTCTCATAGGAGATTCTTGTGAGACTCCCATATTGTTTTCATTTCCACATGTTAGAGTCCCATTAGTCTCACAGGCGTGCGGGGGGGGGGTGGGGGGGGGGGGGGGGGAGGCAGAGAAGAAGGAGGAAGAGGAGGAGAGGGAAGAAGGAGAGGGGGAGAAGAGACATCACCGGAGTCTGAGCAGCTCCAGGTGGGAGCCTGAGAAAGGTATGAGGTCTCTGAGGCTGGCACCCTCATCCCAGTACACAGCAGTGTCCCCAGGTGTCTAGTGCGGCTTCCTAGTGAGCGAGCTCAGGACCTGGTTACTGCACCCGTGAGCAGAGATGCAACAGGGGATGGATGCGCACTCAGCAGCAAATTCTGCTCACTACATTTTATCCCAGGTTTGGGGAACTTCTTTTTAATTTAGAGAAAAAAAATCTTAAAATTAATTTTTAAGTTAGTGCAGTAGCGCGTGCACACACACACTCACACACACACCCTTAACAGGTCCTTCTGACATTTTCTTTACTCGTACCTTGAGGTCACACCTACATTAAGACTGATGTTTGCACTGGAGACCCAAATAGGAGGAACATTTTATACTACCCTGAACTGACATCTAGAGGGCAAGATGACCAGAACATCCAATGCCAACATCTTTTTCCCAAAGAAGGTATATAAATAACACACGCATGCACACACACACATACACATACACACACAGAGAGAGAAGTACAACATATTTTATCATTAAAGAAATGCTAATCAAAAGCACACTAGAAACCACTACATACCCACTCTGAGGGCTGTAATAATAACAACAACCACAACAATATAAGTAGAAATTGACGTATGTTGACAAGGATACGAAGAAATTAAAACCCTCATGTACTGTTCATGAGGATGAAAAATAGTGCAGCCACCATGGGAAAAAAAATGAAGGATCTTTCAAAAGCAAAACCTAGAATTGGCATGTGACCTATCAACTCTCCTCTGGATCTATCCGAAGAACTGAAAATATTCTCTCTCTCTCTCTCTCTCTCTCTCTCTCTCTCTCTCTCTCTCTCTCTCTCTCTCTCTCTCTCTCTCTTACAGTGGCACTATCTACAATAGCCAAACACCCACCAAGAGATGAGTGGAAGAAGATGCGGCATAGCCATACCGTGGAGTATCACTTCACCAAAGAGACGATACAGCACCAACACCCACTATAGTGTGCTGAAAAAAGCCAGAACAACCAACTACAAACGGGATGGCTTTCTTTATGCGAAATATCACGGACGTGCAAATCCCCAGGTTGAAATTACCCAGGGAAGAAGGCACGGGGGAAGGGGAAGGGACCGCTGAGAGGCAACAGGGTATCTTTTAGGAAAGATGAGAAATCCTAGAATTCGTGGCAATGGAGGACCAGTCTCGCGGATGTACTTAGTGGGGCTGAAGTGATTCATGTTCAGTGTTAATTTTGCCCCAATAAAAATACTTTAGTGACACAACAACAACAATTACTCATGGCTTAATAAACATTGTGAGACACATATGGTTAAGACCTTGGGGGCACGAATAAAGAAAGATTCATCCCCCATTTGATGTGCTGGAGGGGACAGGTGTAGAAGTTTCCTGAAGAAAACAGTGTGGAGGAGGATGAGCATCTAGAAGAGCTGACAGCCTGGGCTGTTTCTGGGACGAATCATCTTGTAAGGTTGGTGAGCCAGACAAGCTGGAGCTAGTACCGTGGAGAAACAGACCCTACGAAACAAAACGCATTAGACACACGTTCATAGAACCTGCCAAGTACCAGGCTGCATCTTAACCTTCCCAAATGCTCTGACCCATGGCCCTCCACTGTGTCCCCACCACCATCTGTGCCCCCGGCCCACTGCTCCTACCACTACTGGTGTCCCCACTACAACCCACTGTGCCCCCACTACCCACGCCCTCCCACCAGTAACCCCCTACCACCCATGCTCCCACTACCACCCATGCCCCCACCACTACCCATGCCCCCACCCCCCACTCCTGCCCCCATCACCACAATCCATGCCAACACCACTTCCCGTGCTCCCCCTACCATACAGTTTTGTCTGTAAAGCAACTGTGAGAGAAAGGTGTTTGTGTATCTGCTCACTTGTATGGCACACACAGCCATGGGCATTTGCAAAAGGTAAGCCTGAAACTCCTTCCTTCTCCGTGAATGCTGCTTTCTGTACCGTTCACATGTTCACAAATGGTGGGAGACTTTGCTCTGAAACTGTGTGATCGTTTGTGTTATTGGTACCCTTTGTGTTGCATTCAAAACAGTTTTTCTTTTACTGTTTTCACATGTGTGTGGCTGGTGTGCCTGTATCTGAATGTTTCCATGTATGTGGGCATGCGTGTACATGTGCGTAGGTGTGTGTATATTTGTGTATGTGTATGTCTATGCAGAGGCCTGAAGGTTGGTGTTGGGAATCGTCCTCAATTGCTCTTTGACTTTATTTACTGAGGCGGGGGTCTTTCAATCAAACTCAGAGCTTGCCAATATGGCTAGTCTAGCCTCAATAGTTAGCTTGGGGAATCCAACGTTTTTCCTGTGCTCTAACCACTGAACCACCCAGCCTCTGGTATGCGAGACTTTAAAGAGACTTGAAAGATTGTTTTACTTTTTAATTATAGCTTAGAAACCACCTGAGATAGATGTAAACCGATACAGTCCAGACTTTTTGGACCATTAATTCAACAGAAGGCAACTTGGAAACCACTGTCCAGCAACACTGTTTTATCATTCGGCTTTGTTCAGTCCCGTTGCATCGTTATTCAAGTAGATCTCCATCTTATTACAGCCCACATTTCTTTGTTGTTGTTACTCTTTATTTACTTTATTTCCTGATCTTAGCTTCTCCTCCCTCTTCTCTTCCCATCCCCCCCCCACCTCCATCCACTCCTCCTCTTTTTCTATTCAGAAAGGGGCAGGCCTCCCATGAATAGCAACAAAGTGTGTAGCATCAAGTCGCAGTAAGACTAACCACCTCCCCTTGTATTAAAGATGGGCAAGGCAAACCGGTATGAGGAAAAGGGCCCCAAGAGCCAGTCAAAGCATTAGGGACAGCCCCTGCTCCCATGGTTAGGAGCCCCACAAGTAGACCAGACTATACAACTGTCACATATATGTAGAGGGCCTAGGTCGGTCCCAAGCTGGCTTCCTGGTTGTTGGTTCAGACTCTGTGAGTTCCTATGAGCCAGGTTAGTTGTTTCTGTGGGTTTTCTTGTGACATACTTGACCCCTCTGGCTCCTACAATCCCGTCCTCTTTCTCTTCAGCAGGATTCCCCGAGTTCGCTCTAATGTTTGGCTGTGGGTCTCTACTCTATTTCTCTGTTACTGGATGAAGGCTCTGATGACAATTGGGAGAGTCACCGATCTGATCACAGGAGACGGCCAGTTCAGGCCATGTAGCTGCTATTGCCGGGAGTCTTAGCTGGGGTCATCCTTGCATCGGTTTCTACCTGACCCCAAGATGCCTTCCCCCTTTCCATTCCTCTCTCTCAGCACTCTCCCCCTCCACCCACTTTCCAGCCCAATCCCTCAAGTTCCCATCCCCACCCACCCCACTCCACCCAGGAGATCCCTTCTATTTCCCCTTCCCAGGGAGATCCTTGGGCCCTCCTCTCTGAGCTGCAGAGAGGTTAGGTAACCCCTCTGGGTCTGCAGCCCACATTTCTTTTGACTCCTTCTTCATGTTATAGTGTATTGGTCAATCAAGTGTGATGGTAAATTCTGTTAATGTGATTGGATTGAGAAATGCCTAGGAGATTTATTTATAAACTCCTCTGGGTGTGTGTTTGAGGATGTCTACAGAGAGAGAGTCAACTATGGGAGGAAGATCCTCTCTGAATATGGTGACCTCATTCCCTATGGAGGGATCCCTGATCTAGTACAAGGGAACAAAGAAGAAAACATCCTATCTGTTTCCTGGCCTCCTTCAGATGCTCCGTCTTGCCATACCCTACATTCCAGTTATAATGAACTGAACCCTCAAAACTCTGGACCCAAAGAAACCTTTCCTCCTGCACGTTGTCTTGTTCAGATATTTTATCTTGGCAATGGAAGTTGGATTAACAAGATAGGCTTATTGTCTGTCTTGTCTTCAGAAAGAATGGCTGCATATTGAGCTAGATGAATGACCGGTTGCCCGGATCCTTATGCAATTCTGTAATGTCTCCTTATGAGCAATTACATTGGGACCTTTGTAACTGCTAGAAAATCCGTCATCGCTCTCCTGCATTAGCCATACCATCTTTCTTGAAATGGGCATCTTTCTGTAGGCTGGAAAGGTAGCTCAGTTGAGAGAATGCATGACTAGCCTGCCAAAAACCCTGTGTTTGATCCCCAGCACTGCAGAAATGGGGTGCAGTCGTACATGCTTGTAACTTTTTTGTCTTTATTTTTGAGATTGCATTTTAATTACAACTTTTCACTCTTCCCTTTTTTCCCTCCAAATGCTCCCATATACCCCTCCCCCCTCCCCATTCACCTTCAAATTCAAGGCCTCTTTTGTCATCATTGGTTATTGCATACGTATATGGATATGTATATACATATTTATTCCCAAATATAACCTGTTGAATTCATATAATGGTATTCCTCTGTATATTTTCAGGGCTGATTGTTTAGCATTGGGCAATCAGTTGGTGTATTCTCCCCTGGGGAAGATCACCTCTCTACCTACCTGCCTGTAATCTTAGTACTTGGGAGGTAGAAACAGAAAGATCAGAAATTCAAGGTCATCTTGACTGTATAAGGAGTTCCAGGTCAGCCTGGGCTAGAGACCCTGACTCAAAAACAAACAAGAACAAATAGAATCTCATTTCATGCTATTTTCCAGTTTACCAAGCATTGCAAAAATTCACGGTGTTTTTATATTCCAATACCCGTTTCTTCCTGTTAATAACATCTTATATTAATGCAGTACATTTGCCACAATGGGGCAGTCTGTGTTGATATATTAATATTTAGAAAAATCTATCTTTTATGCCTAATTCTTTAATTCCTACCTGTTGTCTTCTATTTCCTGTCCAGGTCCCATCCAGGAGGCCAGTTAGCCGACACATCTCTGGCTTACCTTTGCTGAGATGGCCCTCAGACTTCCCTTATTTTTGATGACTTTGGCAGCATGAAGGGATAGATAGCATCAGGGCACCTTGTAGATTATCTTACTCTTGGCCTTTTCTCCCTGAGGAGGTGAACTGCCTTTCATATCATATCGTTCTGCCGACATGATTGGTCACTTTTGATGTTAACTGTGTGTCCTGAATGAACAATGTGTGGGAGCCTTTGCCACCGTGAAGCTGGAGGCTCTTTTCCCATTTCACCCCGAGGAAGGCAGTCAGGAGGCACAGCCAACCTTGCCTAAGTGTGCTCTGACGTCTTGAGCTCTGTGTCATGAGAGCAGTGGTCCTCAACCTTCCTAACGCTGCAGTCTTTCAATACTGTCCCTCATGCTGTGGTGACCCCAACCATAAAATTATTTCATTGCTACCTCCTAACTGCAATTGTGCTACAGTTATGAATCATAATGTAAAAATCTGTTTTCTGATGGTCTCAGGTGACCCCTGTGAAAGGCTCGTGACCCCACAGGGTGAGAGCTCCTCATTTAGCCTTCCCTCTCCTGTCCTGGTTGTCTGTGTTGCTCTTGTTGCTGTGCCTGCATGTCTGGTAAGAAGCATCCTAGGGGTGCTTCTTGGTTTCTTTCTGTTGCTATGGCAAACTCCTCTGACGGCAGCAGCTTGAGGGAGAAGGAGTTTATTTTAGCTACAGTTCAAGCTTACAAACCCTTCACAAGAGCAGGAACTTTAAGCCGCTGGTTACATCACACCCCTGGATCGGAAACTGGGAGGGCTGCATTCAGGGTAGCACCCAGCTTGCTTTCTCCATATTCTACAGTCCAGGACCCTCTTGCCCAGGGAATGGCGTGGCCTCCAATTCAGCTATGTCTTCCCGCTTTATTAGGATAATTAAGACAATCTCCCATAAGCATGTACATAGGCCCATTTCCCTGGTGATTCTAGACTCTGTCAAGTTGAGATTTAACACTCAGCAGGCCAGGAGAGAAGTGTTTATTTCAGCTTGTAGTTAAAGGGGCCACAGTCCATCTTAGCAGGACAGGTAAGGCAGCAGCTGGTTGTATTGCATCCACAGTCAGGAAATAGACATGCTGGCGCATGCTGGTGCTGCTAGCTTTTGCTTCCTCGTGCAGACTGGGTCCCCAGCCTGTGGGGGCTGCCCCTCCTCCCACACACACCCAGAAGCTTGGCTGTGGTAATTCCAAATCCTGACAAGCTGGCCATCAATATTAACCATCACCCTTCCCTTCTCTTCACAATGGTCCTTGTAACCAAGGATGAGCTACCAGAGGAGGACTGTTCCTTTTCCTTCAGGCAAGTCTTCTCCACAGTGACACCACTGAGACTTTTGAACAGGTGAGCCACTGTCACA